CCAGGTTTTATGAGGCTGAACGCTTTCGTGGGCTCCAACCCACGTGGACGGACCGCCACCCACCCTCTCAGAGGGAAGCTGTGAAAGCTTAAGGGTGAGGGAAAACCTGGCAGAGTTGAAAGACCGACAGGAGTTTTTGTACGGCTGAGCGGACACTGACGGACAAGGGCCGGCTGCCAGGAAACGTCGGTTCAACGTCCTCCTGGGCCGTCTTTGGCGACTCAGAAGCAGTTCTAGTGGAGTTCGTCCGGATTTGTGCCCACGCGAGGAAGGCTGTCGCCCTCTTAGGCTACATGAAATTCCAGCTTTCCAGAGAAAGTATATTAAAATGGAGGTGGTCTAAAGGAGCCCATTCACACCACGTCCCTGTCTGAATTCTGTTTATTATTGAAATGAAACAAACACAAGAAGGGACAACATTCAAATATTTTTGAACCAAGAAAATATAACAATCAAAATTGTTTTGCTTTCACGGTTGCATCTTTTGAAGGCTTCAACATCCTGGCTGCAAAAATAAAAATGTAAAAACAAAAAGGAGCATACAAGGAGGCAACATTTAAAGCTTGGAAGCCGCCTTGACCTCCTTTCCTGGTTCGTTTCTTCTCTCCGTCTTGGCTTGGCTCTCTCCTTCCTCTTTCACCTGAGGAAGACAGGAAGGGGGGGGGGAAGGTGCATTTTAGAACAAAGGCAGGTATAATTGGTTCCTTTCCCCCCTTTGGCATTTTGGCCTCCAGTTGACCTCGATCTCCTCCAACACCCCATCTCGGTTTTGCTATAACAGCAGCAGGACAGACTTCACAATGGGGCCAAGCCCACGTAAGGGGGGGGGAGAGTGACTCCCATTTTGGGTGTGAGGCGAATCCACTCCCAGGGCTGGATCCGCACCACCGTGGACTGTAATTCACAAAAGCTACCAGGGAGGGAGGTCCGTCTGTTCCTCTTGATAAGGTGCCAACATTTCTTTTTTGCTTCTGTTCCTATGTTATGTGTTGAAACAGAACATCCTGGTGGAAATAGCTCACACAATCCGTAAGGAAGCACAGATGCTTCCAAATCGCCCCCCCCCCCAGCAAATTTCTCTCAGCATTTTTTTTGGGGGGGGGAGGGCAATTCCTTGTCTCCAAAATGGAAGTGAGATATTAGCCAACCTTCATGGTTCCGTTTTCCTCCCGTTACCAGATATAAAGATGCATTTTGCATTATTAACGCCCGGTCAGCTATGGCCAAAGTCCTGAGATCCTGGGCCAGAAGCTCGGATGGCAGCTGGCGGTGGCGAGGGCCACTCAAGCCCAGGAGCTCAGCATCTGGGTAGAATCCAGCAAACTCGGTCATAATTGAGGGGAGCTGGCTGGAGAGCCCAGTGGTTTAAGGTATCCGGCTGCAGAGTCAGTGGGTGGGAGTTTGATTCCCCCATGGGCCAACCTCGGTGGCCTTGGACAAGCTGCATACCTTAAAAAAAACTTAGAAAGGGTCATGCTAAGTCAGAACTGACTGGCAGCCATATAGTTATTGTGATTAGGTAACCGTAGAGGCAAGGAAGAAGCGGGTGAATCTGTTTTCGGCTGACAGCAACATCCACCCTGCTGGGAGAGGATGGGTGGCTGGGGTTTTTGAAAACAGCCTTACCGGCCAAATCCAGGGACCTTTTCCTTCCTCTTCCTCCAGGGCTTCTGATGGTGAGATCTTTCCCCTAATGGCCAGCATCTGGAGAAGCAAAACAGTTTCCTCAGGTTTCCAAGCACCAACAGGTCCCTGAGAAGCTTTGCTAGGATTCAGGGGCAAATATATGCATCCAGGATGGGGTGTCGCCCCACCCCTACCCACTCGAC